AAGAAAGCCACGAGGAGGAGAGACGATTCCCTCATACCTCGTGCATGGCCGTGAGGGAAGAAGAAAAAAGAGAGAAGGAAACAGGAAAAAGGCAGGATCCAGGCCTCTCCTGCACAAAACAGCAAAGCCGGGCCTCAGTGGAGCCGCCCTTCCCTTTGTGCTCCTGTGAGACAGGCTAGGTTGAAACCCCATATTTTTCCAACATTTATTACCCTTTGCATGGGAATAATTTCACACTTGGCATGATTTTTTTTTTTGTTTGTTTGCATATATTTTGTCTCCACTTGGTCCAGGTTAAAATTCATCCCTCGGGAAAAAAAAGAAAAGAAAAAGAAAAAGCATTCAATTGAGAATAGGAGCTCTGGTTAACTACTATAATTTGTTCAACGTATACCCAAAACTGCTAACACTGTGGGTGCCTCTCAGTGAGCTTTTGATTGTGCAATCTCCCTGGCTCCTCCGTGGAATTTTACAGGGAATGTTTTCCCTCTTTTCCATGTAAATCTCCAGCATTTTCCCACTGGCTGCCCTTTTCCAATCACAGCAGATGAAAAAAGTCAGAAAGCCGCATAATGTCCTGGTGGCTATAGGTTATTTCGATTATCCTCTATGTAACTGGAAAGTTCTGAAGTCTAAGGAGTTTCTTCTGATCTTTGAGACTGGAATCCTTTTCATATCAGGAAATCCTGATCTCAGAAGCCCCCATCGGGAATCCATTCAGGAGGGAGGGCCTGAGGATCCTTTGCTCCCCTCAGCCTTCCACTGTGTCCCCAACTTGGGGCAACCAACCTTTCGATCGACTGCATGTCTCCAGCCTGATATCCACTGGGCCAACTGCAGGACATTGGAGTGCCCGGTTCACCCTGAGCTCTCCATATGTAAACCACAGGAGAAAAATAGCAGAGAACAATACATCAGACACCAAGGCTTGCTGAAAGAAATGTCTTGATTATTCTTTAAAGGACAAGCAAAGACAAGAATAAGCCAATCTCTTCTGTGAGGACAAGCCATTGCTCAGAATTGAGCCCTGCTTATTTGCTTGAATCCAGTGGCGGTGGGATACCCAGGGAGCCTCCAGTGCTGGAAAATGAGACATAAAAACATACCTGAAGTTTGTTTGTCAGTTTTTCTGTTAACATTTGTACAATCACTTGCAGCCATTGCTCCGTGTTCTGTTCTCAAAATATCTGTGTTTCAACATAACACGCAGCTTGTAAGAGATTATTATAAAAGAAGACAGTGTCCTGTCACACCCTCTTATAACTACTTTATGCATGAGTGAAATGCTCTTTCTCAACTCATTTGGGGAGATTGTCCTTTTCCAATCACAGCAACTGAAGGAAAGCCAGCAAGCTGCATAGGGTCCAGGGGTTATAGGCTGTTTCGGTTCTCCTCTCCGTAATTCTGTTGCTGTCTGAGACTGGAGTTCTTCTTCTATTAGGAAATCCTGATCTCAGAAACCCCCATTGGGAATGCACTTTGTGAGCTGTTCTCAGAATATTTGTGTGTCAGCATTACAAATAGCTTGTAAGTGATTATTATAAAAGAACACGGCCTCCTGTCACACCCTCTTACACCTCTTTATGCACCAGTAAAATGCTGTGTGTTGACCTATTTGGGAGCATACAGAAAAACAAATGGTTGAGAGACCCAGTCCAACTTCTCTATCTGGATTATGGTATAATATGTCCCAGCTGCCTTTCAAGCTGATCCTCTGTTACTGGCAGTTTTATATAATTCATCCACTCCTCCATAGAAAATAAAGGAACAAATAACCAAAGTCTTTCTTTGCACAACATAGTTATTGTAATTAGGACAGCCTCAAGTTTCATTTGTATAATATGCTAAGTTTGATCAGTTTTAATCCTGGTGTTTTCTAAATGCTTGTCCTTTTTTATTTATTTATTTATTTATTTATTTATTCATCAAATTTATATGGCCTTTAGTTTGCTTGGCAAACCTTGGCTGTTTGGGCAATGCATGTTTTAATGTATTGTGCAAATCCAGGAAATGTGCTAATTCAGTGAGCAGATGAAGCAAGTGATGTGAACACATTTAAGCCCCTGAGTCCAACTGGCTGTGCAATGCAGGAAGTCAAATTAAAGCATCTGGGACAGATGGCTGGGCGGCCTCATGCCAAGTGATGGGAAGCTCTACCACTTCTCTGGGAGTGCAATTCTACTGTCCAGTTGCTTTCACTCTTGTTTTTCTGAGCATTCAGTGAGCTCTAAGAATGCAAGAGTCTTCCTCAAAGTCTGGCATTCTGACAAATTAGCCATCAGCAGACTTGTAGAAATAACTCCACAGATGAACCAATGAAAGTGAACAAGTCAAAGAAAGTCAATCAGCCATGAGCCCACCCTTCTCACAACTTCTAGCATTCTTCTCAGACAGTGGGCTGTAGTTTTGTTGCCTTTATTTCACTATTTTGCTTCAGCTCTATTATCTTGTCAGATAAGGTTTGTGCTTCCAGTACTCATAAGTGCTGTGTCTAATGAAGTAGATCGCATCAAGGTTGCATTTTTTCTGGCAGAAAATTCTTCCCCAAAATCAGGAAAAGAATTTTTCCATTTATAAAATAAGATTTCCACAGTCCCCAAGTCCTGGAACACACCATCCTCAGTCTCAACTCTGCACCTTTTCTGATGTGTCACTTCACCACAACTATCTCCCGTTGAGAAAAAAGAGCCTCCTCCTCCAAACACTGCTCTACTGTTAGTATTATCCATTGATGAAAATTCAGAGAGCAAATAAGATTTTGGTGGTTCACAAATTTGTTCTTGTATGGCACATAATGCTGCAAGCTGGGGTTTACAAAGCATCTTGTAAGAGAAGAAAGGGAAGCTGGAACTGAAGTTTTCATATTGACCTGCAATTATGTGTAATAACGTAGAACATTTCTCTTCTCTGTTCTAAACCGCAGCTGGCAAAGCAATATGGGAACATCTATTCTCTGTGGGGAGGCGGTTATCATTGCATAGTTCTCTGTGGATACCAAGCAGTGAGAGGGGGACTGATTGACCATTCAGAAGCTTTTGTTGATCGCCCAGTCACGACGTATCTTTTAGATACAACTCAAGGAAAGGGTAAGTCATAGTCAAAATTGTGGAAAGGTATTGGTGCTGTCTTATTATACCCCTCACAATCCACATGACAACAGACAGAAGGTTTGGATTAAAGTATCTGGCAATTAGAGATGGCTGTTCTGGGAAAACATCACCTGAAAGGGAACACAAGTCTTTTCCGACCTTTCTATCTGCCAGCAAGTCCTGGAAGAACCATTGTCCTGGATTTGTCAATCATATTAAGAGGCAAGGAAGTGTCCCATCATCTCTTCAGCAGATTGTACACAGAAGTAATGTATAGGCAACTACATGTCTGTATTAATGTTACCATTTGCATTTCAGAAGTTTCTATCATACATTAGACGAGATGTAAGGAGGAGCCTTCAGGAAAGAGAAAGGATGTGGGGCTTCAGTTAAAAGCTTCAGTTAAAAGTGTCCTCAGAACTCTCACACCGTGAAGATGAACTTCTGTAGTATCACTTTCTCTGTATCAGTTGAGGCTTTCTATGTTATGAAGGGTCGAGATTTTCCATTAGAATTGTTGGTTTGAGACATAGACTACTACTCAGTATAAAAAGCTGGGTAGAAAGGGTTCAGTTCTTCAATGCAGGAGCATAAATTGCATATACATTTTGAGGGCTGTCAAACTAATTCGTTTTGTATTTTTGTAAATACTAATTTCTCTGTGTTTCTTGATGGCTTCAGGTATTTTGTTTTCAAATGGTCACACCTGGAAGCAGCAAAGACGGTTTAGTGTTGTTACCATGAGGAAGTTGGGATTTGGGAAAAAAGGCATGGAATCTCAAATCCAAGAGGAGGCCCAACAACTTGTGGAATTCTTTGCAGATACAAAGGGTATGTGATAATCTGAGATGATGCTGGATTGAATATATGTTGACAGAAAACTCCCAAATTTATTTATTTATTTATTTATTACATTTCTCACCCTCCCATCTCCCCCCAATGGTGGACTCTGGCTGACTCGCACAAAACATTAAAACGATAAATACATATAAATACATAAAACATCAAACATTACTAAAAAAGAGGAAAAGGAGAGTCCAAGAAGATGAAGAATCTGCGGCTGAAGATAGCAGGCCTCTATGGGGCCAGCCATCCCCACGCTTGAAGTATTCCCTCCCCACCCCAGGCCAAGTGACAGAACCAGGTCTTCCAAGTCCTTTGGAAGGCCAGGAATGAGGGGGCCAATCGCACCTCCGGGGGAAGAATGTTCCAAAGACTGGGGCTACCAAGGAGAAGGCCTGCCTTCAGGACCCTGCTAATCGGAGTTCTTTTACTGAGGGGGTCCAAAGCATGCTCTCTCTGTGTGATTGGGTGGGACGGGTGGAAGTCATGGGAGAGAGGCGGTCCCTTAGGTAACTTGGTCCCATGCCACGTAGAGCTTTAAAGGTGATAACCAACACGTTGAATTGGACCTGGAAGCAAACTGGTACCCAAAGCAGCTCGCAGAGCAACGGCGTTACATGGGCCTTTCTTGGGGCTCCAAAAATAGCCCTCACGGCTGCATTCTGGACCAACTGAAGCTTCCAGATACTCTTCAAGAGTAGCCCCATATAGAGTGCATTGCGGTAGTCTATCTGGGAGATAAAAAGGGCATGAGTGACTGTTCGAAGGGCACCCTGATCCAGGAAAGGGTGTCACTGATGCACAACCCGAAGTTGTGCAAAGGCCCTCCTGGCCACGGCTGCCACCTGCTCTTCAAGCAGGAGCCGTGAGTCTAGCAGGACCCCCAGATTACGCACTGGGTCTGTCTGGGGCAGTTCTACCCCATCCAGCAGCAAAGATAACAAAGTCCCAGATACAGAGGAGCCATTAACAGACAGCCACTCTGTCTTACCAGGGTTCAGCTGAAGCCTGTTGTTCCCCATCCAGACCCTTACAGCCTCCTGGCACCACGAAATGGTGGTCACGGCATCACTTACCTCACCTGGGATGGAGATGTATAATTGTGTATCATCAGCATACTGATGATACCTCACCCCATGATGGTGGATGATCTCATCCAGCGGTTTCATGTAGATGTTGAAAAGGAGTGGAGAGAAAACCGACCCCTGTGGCACACCACAGAGGAGGGGCTGAGGATGGGACCTCTCGCTCCCTAACACCACCGATTAGGAT